CCAATCCTCAACAGAAATGCTCACAACAATGAAAACCTCAGACAGGAGGAAGAGCACCGCCAGGTGGGCAGGCAGGGGGGCACTTTTTTCAGTGCCATTGTAACTTCAGTCACTAAGCGAAGTGTTGTAAGTTGAGGACTACCTGTACTTTATCACTTTTTTCCTTTTTTGGGGTGGGGTCATCAAGTTTTTGACACCTTACTAGGCGACTGGTGGTAGTCGGATATTGCCATATCCTAAAAGTGGCACAATGGGTGAAAAGATTGAAAAGCCCTGCTCTAGGTTATTGACCAATATTCTCAACCATTGGCACAGAATGTGTGGATAATCTTTATGTTTCCAGAAGGGACAGGAATCAAGATTATGTTTTACTGTATAGAAGAGTAGCCAGAAAAGAGCATGATCCCTTAATTCTATGCAAAAGATGGTACCTGAATTCATACTTTAAAAGCACTGCAGGCAAGACAGAGCTTATAGTAATGATACTTGGTAGGGGCAGATAATTACAATTCTCTGATTAGGGGACAGATTAAACTAAACGGCAGAGCTAAGATCATAAACCGTATCAAAACAAAACATGCTTTCCAATTCCTCATTCATAGGACTCTGAGAGGAAGCTAAAGCATTTACATTTTAGATTAAATCTTAGTAGTTTACTCAGTAGGCCAGAAAACCAATTCCATATACACTTTGTACTAAGTCATTATGCGGTGTGGTGTGGTTATATTGGCTTAATATGTTGCATGAAGTCAGTCACTGCAGTTTGTAACAATGTTTAGTAGAAACCTAGTCTGCATGTTCCTACATGTACTGACCAATCATGTTTCTTCAGTTACAAGTTATTGTCTTAATGCCTAGCCTGCCAGGATAGCAGGTGGAAAAATGGAGTTAATGCTTTTTCCACAATTGTATTTCAATCCAAAATCCAGTGATTCAAAGCAACTTTAAGGAAAATTAGTTTCAATGAAGAAGAGAGGAAGATGGATTTCTTCTCCTTTTTGCATTTCCTCTGATTCACACTTAGCCGTGGTAAGAGTAATTTAAGCGGATAAACAGAAGAGTCCTTCCTTCCTTCCTTCCTTCCTTCCTTCCTTCCTCATATAGACTGCATTTTTGGAGATTCCAAGTGCTTTGTATGATTGATTTTTGTTTTTCATCCTGTGATATTAATTAGTAGAATAGCATGATTTCCTTATTTCCAAATACCTTTCTGAAGAGCCATATGATTACTGTTCTCCAAAAGTACAGTAACAAGGAGGTGGTTTTGTTATCTGGAGGGTTGAGGGAAGAAACTGTTAAAAAAACATGTTCTAATATGCAGGTGCATTTTATTTGCATGTGAACATCTAATTTGATTCTTTTCTACTTATCTCTTTAAAGAAGAAAAAGGCCTGAGATGAGATTGAGTGTGTTAAAAGGATATGGTTCAAAAAAGGGCAGTTACCAGAAGACCAACAGCAGCCTTTATAAGAGGGATTTTAAAACACGCCTTTGCTTCCAAGGAAAAACACAAATGGAACAGGTTGTTAAAAAGAACAGTAACCAGAGAAATATAAAATCCAGTATTAAGGTCTTGTATTATCTACTCAATCTGGCATTTCCTTGCAAGCTTCCTTTTGCAAGCTCTTCTTTAATTCCTAATTTCAACTTTATTTTTCAACAGAACTGTCTACAGTTCTCTATCCATGTTCCAAATTGCATCAGAAGAAAATGACCATGTCCCTCAACAACATCAGAGCACTAAAGCCTCAAATCATTGGCCAGCAGCTCAGCTCCTCCCCCTTTTCCTTTGGCTTAACCTCAACAAGTGAGCTGCGTATTCTCCAGGTCCTTTGTGAAGGAATGGCTGCAGAATCACCCCAACCTTGTCACTACAGCTCCAGAAGATCCAGGCTGACAGTACATTTAGGTAAACATGGACCAATAATGTATTACCTCCACTCATTTGTACCAAGAGGAAGGTTTCCCCTTCCCTTCTTCCCCACTGATGTGAAAAGCAAAAAAATCTTTGATGGAGCCCTTCTGATGAACATCCCTGGAATATCTCAAATTAAACACTATCTGGACTGGATTTCAGATGCCTTTTTAAACATTTAAGAACTCTTTATCTGTCTTATGGCAGCAGCTATGAGGAAGAAATTAACCCTATGCCTCTGCATCTTTTTCCAAATGAATGTTCTACACCTGAAGCTATTAGATCTACCAGGAAAAAGAAGGGGGGGGGGAAAGAGGAGGAGGAGGAGGAGGAGGAGGAGGAGGAGGAGGAGGAGGGGGAAATAGGAGCAGAAATCTTCATTTTTTTCCTAATCACTTTTTTGGGTGCATATTTAGTAGTTTGGCAGGTGAGAAAATGAGAGAAAGAGTTTCTCCCTATTCTGTTGATGGAAAAAGGTAAACATTATAATTCTATTGCTCCAGTCAAATTAGGATCTGTATGCTAGTTATGATTTTGAGAGGAAATAGAGACTAGGAATTCCAGTTATGAATTATTCATGTAAGCAGAATTGCAGAGCACTGCAGTTTTAAGTTTCTAACTTAACTAATATACTACTCAGCCAAAAACCTGAACACAAATATAGGTGGAATTGTGTCCATGATCTTGACTCTTAAAAGACCTCCCTTACAGAAGCCTCTAGGACAGGGGTCTTCAAACTTGGCCCTTTTATGACTTGTGGACTTCAACTCCCAGAATTCTTCAGCCAGGCATGCTGGCTAAGGAATTCTGGGAGTTGAAGTCCACAAGAGTATGTACTCTTGGAAAAAGAGTAAAAAGTTGGGCTTCATAGCACACTTCTCTATGAATGGAGCAAGAAAGAAGGGCCTGCTTTAATGAATAGCAAGGAAGTGCTATTCTTATACAACTTCCAAAGAACTTTTGAATAATTTCCAAAGTATGTTGGGTCCTAATTTAAAACATGTATGTATTTAATGTTTATATAAAAGTTGGTGCATCCAAACCATGGATGCACGGAGAATAAATAACCAGCCTGATTCTCAGCATGGGGAAACTAGTGGAATTCTCAGATGATCAAGGGAACCTCAACATATTTTTTCTGAGTTCTGGATCAGGGTAGGTAATTTTTCCTCAGGGAAAATCTGTTGGGAACTGGGCAACATTACAAAACGATGAACAAACTGATGAAACCACAGTTACAGCCAAGTATAGGCCATCCTTCCCTCCATGCTTCAGCACTTCTTCCTTCCAGGAGTGTTTGCAGAGGAAGGGTAAAATATATCAAGATGATAGCTACAATCGTGAGATCAGAACTCCACCTACTTTTACTGGTGTCATAAGGTTTTGAAATCATATAGCCAGAAAGCAAATTTGGTGTACAGTGGTGGTTAAGGCATCAGGATAGAAATTGGGAGACAGGGAGTTCTAGTTCTATTTTAGGCCCAAGCCAGTTGGATGACTGGAGGCTAGACACACTCTCTCAGCCCTAGGGAGGAGGCAACGGCAAATCACTTCTAAGATCCTGCCAAGAAAATTCAGGGACTTTTCCAGGAGAGAACACTAACTCGAAGGCATAAACATAACATATCCGAGGACACGGGTTGCAAAGTTCTACTTTGGCAAATTCAGACCTACAAGATCAGACGTGTGTACACTCAGTGTGCATAATCTGGGCGTCTCTTCATCCAGTTCCTATTCAGTTTGTGCATTTTTAGTTTCTAGAGCTCATATCTATCCTGTTGCCACCAAAAAGATTCTGAGTGGAGAATCCGTCACACCTTGCCCAAGTTATCAGACATAATTTGCATTAAAATCTATTACAAAGGCAGTGGTGATGAAACAAAAGTAATGGTGCTTTTTTCATTTATTGTAGGTTTGCAAAGGAAATATGTTTCTGGAGAAAATGGGAATTTGCAACTAAGTTATTGACTTCCATTTCCCATCTCAGCATAACTAAATAAATGACAGGCAGGACAAACTAATATTGCCTATAGTGTAGGATTCAAAAAAGGACCAGTCTCACTTCCTAACCATGAGAAATCAATACAGTATTTTATTTTATATTTACATTTTAACCTTGTTTATTATAGTCACCAAGACAAGTAAAGTAGACTTTATGTTGTTTCAGGACTCCAGGAAAAGCCCTGGAAATTCTTGCTTTTTCTGGGCCTGGCACAGTCTGGCTAAGTGAACTGGAGTAGGTCACTCTGCAGCTCACATTTGTTTTCACCTAAGAAATAGTCACAGTTAGCCCTTTCATCTCTCCTGGTCCTAACCGTGTGATTTCAAGCTACATTGTTTAAAGCTACATAACTTATGAAAGTCACAAGAACTGCTTTGCTTAACAGCACTAACAGCTCACGATGGTCAGCACCTGCTTTCCAACAGCTGCCGAACAAGTGGCTGATAGAAGATCAACAACTAGGATGAAGGCAACAGTTATCTCTGCTCCGTAGCACGCTGTTTCTGTCCATGGAGGCTCGGCTTCTACCAGCTACTAAAGCAGAGTTGGCAATATTTTAGATTTTTTTAAATTAAATCCACTTACGTCAACGGATCATAGTGACATTGTTTGGTAACTAATTCTAAGGAAAGTTACAAGATCCTCTCCTCCTCCCGCTGTCGAGAATCGACAGCCAGTGCCAATGACCGGCCGGACAACTCTGAGTTTCCGAGGGCGCGCGGGATTTCCGGAAACCCAAATCCAGCTGTGGGCAGCCATTAGGCAGGCGAGACCCCAACCGATTCAGGCTTTCAAGTGGCTCGTCTGATTCAAATGCATGAATTGAGGACGGCCGACTTTTATAAAACGAATTAGTTAGCGTAAAATAATGAATTGAGCAATCGGACTTACTTCCAAGTAAGTGCGTTTTAGGAGCGTCTCGCTAGACTCTTCAGTCGGAATGAACCGGGAGAAAATGCCTAACAGAGGAAACTACGGGGGAAGATTGGTCCGTTTGAACCGGCTGGAGCCCAGATTAATACAGATTTTAGCTTAGTTTAAGGAGGTCAAAGGAAGCGGACGAGAACTGAAAGCAAAACTCACCGGCTGCCTCTTAGCGTCTTCATTTCTCCAGCCGGCTAACAAATTTCCAATCTTCCGGCAAAAAGCAGAGAGGGAAAGCTGCTCCCCACACGACGGCTACGGGAGCCTCCGCATTTCCGCGGGCTGTCAGCTGCCTGGGCCTCCACGCCCCTTTCCTCGGCTGCACCTGGGCGGGACCGGGGCTCCTGGGGCGACGCTTCCTCCCCTCCCGGTTCTGGAATCCGTCCCCGAACAGAGCAGCGCCTTCCTCGCGCAGGGTGGCGTCACCGCCTTTCAGCCGACCGGGATGCCGGGCTCTTGTGCTCGCAATCTGCCTTGGCCCCCTGGCACCCGCTTCCCCATTGCCACTCCGTCCCACTCAGCGGCCCAGATATGAAGGGGAAAACAAGTCTCGGTGTCCTTTTCGCCTTATAAAACAACAGGTCATAAGGAGCGTGTCACAAAACGAAAAGCATCCCCCTTCCCCCAATAAAACAACCCTCATAAAAGGTTGATTTCTGAAAAGGGAGTGAAGATTGAGTGCTTGAATGCAACGCGTTTGTATTTAGGCGCAAGCGAATAGAACATTTTGAGTTTGCAAACTTCACAATTTTGTGTGCATGCACAAATGTAGGAATTGTGGAACTATGATTCATCCTATGTAACCTGACCTGAAAGGACAGGGTTCTTGGATTTGTAACAGTTGCTTCAAATTGGATGCTTTGAGTCTGAACTTGGATCTGTTAAGACTCTCACTTAGATTTACAGAATGCAGATCTTCCTTTGCATCTGGCCAGGCTCTGAACAGTATTACTTCACCCATGGTAGTGTGGTAGGGGCATGGCATGTCAACAAGATGTTTTTAGAACATCTCTAGCTAAAAAGACATTTGTGGCAGATACTACCATAGTCTAGAGACTGTGCTGCAAACTCCACCTGTGTGACTCACTCACCTACATGTCCCTGAACTACCTGATATATAGCTCAAGAGGGGGAAGTTTCAAGATTACTATCACCTTACTCATACTTAAGTCATCCTGAAAAAGCTCTCCAGTTGAATTTTGGTGACTGTGAATGTGGCAACTTATTTAAGGATGATTTTCACTGAAAGCAGCTAAGAACTTCTAAATAACTGTTGATATCCAGTGCATATTTTGATAATGCCTACATTTGTAGAGAGCTAGGGCTAATTTTTTTCCTGGTAATATTTCCCCCTCATTTCCCAGAATCTAATTATCCTAGTTCTTCTTGAGCACTTTTTTGTTCTTGATAAAAATAAAAAGATAACCATACAATATATGTACACTCTTGCCCCAAAGTAAGTTCTGCCTGCATCTGGGGGAGATCAAAATGGAGAGCAGAGAAAGCTTTACATTTCTCCTCATTAAGCCCCTTTATTTACTTTTAAGGAAATGGATTCTTGAATAGCATTTGGCTCTTTATGTTCTGATTTATCAGTAACATACGCAGCACAAACGTTAGAGCTACTGTACTTGCAAAATAATTATATTTTCCCTGGATTATGAAGTTATCAATATTTTTTTTCATTTTGGTAATAATGATCCAGCCAGAAATGGGGTGGTTTTAAACTAATGACTGTGATCAACTTATCCTAGAGCAGGGCTTTTCAACCGGTGGTACCAGTACCACTAGTGGTACGTTGGCACCTGGCAGGTGGTATGCGTACGACGGGTTGAACAGCAATGTAAAAAAAATGTAAAAAATGTAAAAATGGATGAGGTGAAGCGGCAGCAGTGCTGCACAGGCTTGTGGGAAAGTCAGCTGGAACTGCACGTTGCCTGGGTCCTGCTGAGAGCCCAGGATCAAAGCGTGCAGCTCCAGCTGATTGGAGGCAGCCTTGGGAGTGGCAGGCAGCCTCACACAGTCTTCGGGTGGAGATTCAGCTGGAGCTGCACAACGCATTGCCTGGGTCCTGCTGGGAGCCCAGAATCAGCGCACGCAGCTCCAACTGATTGGGGATGGCAGGCGGCCTCACGCAGTCTTCAGGCAGAGATTCAGCTAGAGCTGCGAGAAGCATTGCCTGCCTGGGTCCTGTGGAGAGCCCAGGATCAGTGTGTGCAGCTTCAGCTGATTGGGGGTGGCAGGCGGCCTCACACATTCTTCAGGCAGAGATTCAGCTGGAGCTGCGAGAGGCATTGCCTGCCTGGGTCCTGTGGAGAGCCCAGGATCAGCGCGTGCAGCTCCAGCTAATTGGGGGTGGCAGGCGGCCTCATGCAGTCTTCAGGCAGAGATTCAGCTGGAGCTGTGTGGCGAGGCATTGCCTGGGTCCTGCTGAAGGGGAGAGAAGAGAGGATATTAAAGGGGGTGAGGGAAGAGATATTAAAGGGTGAGAGAAGAGAGGATATAAAAGGGGGTGAGGATATAAAAGGGGGTGAGAGAAGAGAGGGGGGTGAGGACTACCTGTACTTTATCACTTTTTTCTGGGGTTTTTTTTTTTGGTCATCAAGTTTTTGACATCTTGCTAGGCGACTGGTGGTACTTGAATATTGCCATATTCTAAAAGTGGTACAATCGGTGAAAAGGTTAAAAAGCCCTGCTTTAGAGTAGTTTTTGTGTTCTATCTAATTCATGAATAATCAGGTTCCTTGGAATTAATAGATCAGCAAAAGAGTCTGAGTTTGGTTTTCTCTTCCATTCTGATATATCACAAAAAGCTTTCTAAAACATAATCAAAAGTGCCTTATTGATCTTCTAGTGAATCTTATATGTACCTCTCTTGCTAATCTATGCCTTCGTGCATAGTTTGTATATACTCTATATGTTTCGTCTATGTCTCTCCTTATTTCCTGTTTGTCCTTTCCTAATATCTCCGTCAACACCTCCGCCATCTTCTCTCCCAAATCTTCTTCCTTTTCCTCTACAATGTTTTGGAATCTTNTTATCAACTTGCTCCATTTTTGTTTCAACTTTTTGAATTCTTTGTTCATTTTCCATCATTGTTTGTTGTATATTGCCTATCTTATCATTCATGTTTTTAATTTCATCTCTCATTTCTCCAATGTCATTCTTGATTTCTGTATGATGTACTTTCATTTCTTCATGATTATTTGCTATTGCCTCTTGGGTCCTCATCATTGATATATCACAAAAAGCTTTCTAAAACATAATCAAAAGTGTATGTTTGGTTAAATTTGAGGAAGGGTAGAAAGATAAATCTAAAGGAAGAATTCTGGGTTGGAAGAAAATTCAGAGTGGAATAGTGGAGAATAGAAACCTGACAAAGGGGTAGTTGATGATCAGGAGCTGGATGAAAAAGAAAAAAGAGAGAAAAGAGACAAAGATTTTTCACACGTGATCTAAAACAGTGACTATATAGTATATAATAACAATACCAAATGATTCTGAGTCTCTGAAAGAAAACAGGAAATAGGGGAAGGATTATACCTTACTATTGGCTTCCTTTGCTATAACGGTGAAATTAATTACAGCACATGTGCTTTGGCTAAAGGCAAAGTCTTTTTAATCTTTGTGTTAGTTTAAAGAGGCTTTGGTGTCTGAACAGAACTCTAGCCCAGATCTCACTGGTAGCTTGCAATAGCCCCATCATATCCTAACATTCCTAATCTTCCCCTTTGGCCACAAAATATTGCCTTCACTTCATTCCCATCCCTGGGGGAAAGAATCTTAAATCAGCTACTGAACATTCTGAAATAGTTTGGCTATGAAATAACTATCATTGTTATAAAATGCTTTATACTTATGAAGAAAGCACAGAAACATGGGGTGGGGGGAGGGGAATCTGTTGACCCCGTCAGTGTTGAGGCAGCCACTGTCATGAATTAGCTAGTTTCATATTTTAGAAAAACTGGAGGTCAATCTAGAACAACTCAGTCTCTCTGATAGTTCCCAAGGATAAATGTTCTCATACGTTTCACGAGTAATGGAAGCTTGCCCAATTCCACCAGGCCAGTTTTCATGTACCTGATATGTTTCTCTCAAAGCACCATTACTTCAACCATTTCACATGCTTTGAGAACCATCTGATACTTTCTTAATAATATTCTTTCTGCTATTTTTTTTTACACATTGCTTTCCTGAAGATCTTCTGAACCTTTAGGCCTATTTTAAAGGATCCCACAAACTGTACCTTTCAGACATGTAAACTTACACAAATATATGACACAAAACTATGCATCATGTTATCATGACATTAAATAATTGGATTAGATATTTGGCAATATACTGACATTAATGCCTTGATACATGGTTAATTACTTAATGGACCTATATATGGTTAACATTTTCCTCCAATGTATTGTCCTAATTTGAAATGATCCTTTATATATGCAAGTAGAATGAGCTCCTTACAAAGTGGCCTTTTGGCCAGATTGTAAGTACAATTTCTGACTTCAATTGTTGGACTTAGTTTTGTCTGACATAAAACTATTTCTGTAGAATAAAATTATTCTTAAGAAAAGTACTTTTATCCTGAAGATTTTAAAATCTATGCTAGAAAGGCCAGGAAAAGGCATTCTCATATTTTTGTACCAGTGTTCCTTTCCACTCTGGTCTCTTTAACTGAAATTAAAATATGTAATGGAAAATCTTTTCTCTCAACAGCATTCCTTTAGAATATTTTCTAGGAATATCTCCTTCACATTTCCATCCCTATCCCCAACTACTCCAATTAGTCCAGTTAAATTCTAAAAATAAACTTGGCCAGATGTAGATTTGCTAAACATTTATTTAAGTTCTTTTAAAATTTATCACTGAAGCTCTGTTGTGTACTTGCAAATGAAAGAGGTAAATGGGTGTGGACGACTTGACTCTTTTAAGAAATACAGCTCATTCTTTCTGAACTGGTATAAATCTACCATGTTCTAAACCAATATTTGGCAAAACAGAGGGAAATGAGCAAACATTTCCAATGGAATCATTTACCAGAGATACTTTATAAGCTAGCATTTATACAAGGTTTTTCAGCTTCAGTCCAAGATTATTTTTTCTTGACTATTACAAAAGCTGCAAATGGCCCTTTATAGATAATTTTTTTTCCTCCAAAAATGCAAACATGTGCAATCCAATTGATCTTCTTTGAGTGCTTGGGGTAAATTTTCTATCCCTCCATTAACATCATTCAAATGTCATCCTCCTCCTGAGTGCAGTTATGTGTTCAGAGTGATTCAATGCAGGAGCAGAAC